AAAAAAATGATGCCGCCCTGGGAAGGCCCATACAGAATTGCAGAAGTCATAGGCAAGGGAGCATATACGTTAGAAACCATGGCGGGAATGTTGGTCAGCAAGCCCTGGAATGCCACGTCTCTAAAGAGGTACTACCAATAAAAGCTAAGTTTCGGCTTTATTGGGTGTTGTTTGTTGTCAATCAAGTACGTATGAATGTGCAAATTCCTGAAATTTATAAAAATAACTTTCCTCTTCAATGGGTTGCTAAAAATAAAAATAAAAAATGAAAAGCCAAGTGGCAAGTGGCATTCTAGCCGAGCGCCAGGCACTTAAGCAAGATAAGTGGCAGCTGGCACTATAAGCCGAACGCCATACACTTGCTAAAAAATGAAAAGCCAAGTGGCAAGTGGCGTTCTAGCCGAGCGCCAGGCACTTAAGCAAGATAAGTGGCAGCTGGCACCATAAGCCGAACGCCAGACACTTGCTAAAAAATGAAAAGCCAAGTGGCAAGTGGCATTCTAGCCGAGCGCCAGGCACTTAAGCAAGATAAGTGGCAGCTGGCACCATAAGCCGAACGCCAGACACTTGCTAAAAAATGAAAAGCCAAGTGGCAAGTGGCGTTCTAGCCGAGCGCCAGGCACTTAAGCAAGATAAGTGGCAGCTGACACCATAAGCCGAACGCCAGGCACTTGCTAAAAAATGAAAAACCAAGTGGCAAGTGGCATTCTAGCCGAGCGCCAGACACTTAAGCAAGATAAGTGGCAGCTGGCACCATAAGCCGAACGCCAGACACTTACTAAAAAATGAAAAGCCAAGTGGCAAGTGGCATTCTAGCCGAGCGCCAGGCACTTAAGCAAGATAAGTGGCAGCTGGCACCATAAGCCGAACGCCAGACACTTGCTAAAAAATGAAAAGCCAAGTGGCAAGTGGCGTTCTAGCCGAGCGCCAGGCACTTAAGCAAGATAAGTGGCAGCTAGCACCATAAGCCGAACGCCAAGCACTTGCTAAAAAATGAAAAGCCAAGTGGCAAGTGGTATTCTAGCCGAGCGCCAGGCACTTAAGCAAGATAAGTGGCAGCTGGCACCACAAGCCGAACGCCAAGCACTTGCCATAAACAAGCACGCGACAAAGTTAATATAAAAAAAAAAAGAGAAAAGGTATATATATATTGAAAATGGGTTTGAACAGAGCGTAACACAAAGGAAAAAGAGAAAAAGAGTTCTGTCATCTCATTCATGATAAGCATTGGATTTACAAAAAAAAATGAAGTATTCAAGTCACATTGTTACAAAAAAGTATAGAATCGGAGAGTCCGGAGGAGTCCTAGCTAGCTGCCCCAGTACCGACAGCCTCCTGGTTATGCCGGTCCGCCTCCTCAGTCCCATCAGCCATCTCACCCTCACGAGGTGGGGAATCAAGATGAATAACAGAGTCATTCTGCTGGGGGCCAACGTCAGCAGTGGCTATGGGAGATACCACAGTTGACGATTGAGGAGCGATTAGAGGCAGAGCGGTAGGAGGAACTGTAGTGATCCTAGAGGAAGCAATGTCCTGGCATTCATCAAATATGTGCTCCGCTTCGGTGGGTTCTGGGTCAACATAGACCCCCAGAAGGTCAATCCCTAAATCCTTATCGACCTCATCTGGAGTTGAGCTGGTCTGTCCCTCATCCGGAACTCGGTCAGAGAAACCTTCTCGGAATCCTTGAGCATATCTAAGAGCGCCGACCCTTGAGAACCGAGCATGAAGAGCCAGCATCCCACCGTTCACTCTGCTGATGGTATCAATCAGAGCAGTACGCTCGTCCAGAGCTCTCTTCTCAAAAGCCATCCGAGCAGACTGTTCATCAGCCAGAAGGCGCTGGAGCTCTGCCTTTTCGTCTCTGATTGAATCACGCTCAGTCTGCCAGACACTCTTTTCAAGCTGGAGGGCATCCTTCTCATCCTGAAGAGAGTCGTTTTCCTTCTTCAAGACATCTCTTTCTTGTTCGATTTTTTCAAGCCGAGCCAATACCTCGGTATTCTTGCTGGCGAGAAGGTCGTTTTCCTTATTGGCCACCTCCAGGCTATCAGAAAACTTACGAGCCCTGGCGTTCCCCATTTCAACCTGCTTCTGCATAGCCATCATTCCGAACAAAGTCTGCATAGATATACATTAATAATGGTTAAACCGATAGTCTGGTCGGACGAAGGTAAGACCAAATAATATGAGAGGATTCATAAGTTGGAAAATAAAAGTCACCTCCATGGCAGATTGGGGAAAGCAGCTGAACACATCCTTCTGGGATAGACCTTTCGCCGCCTCAAGGTCTTTCGGAGTCCACATGCTCCTATAATACGCCATGGCGGTCTGGCCATCCTTTAGCATGGTCTCGTTCGGCTTCACGAACGTCCCATCCGTTCTGGTGTACCGAGGAGCCCATGGTGGTAAAGTGAGAAGAGAAGGGGAGGCTGAAGCAGAAGCAGAGGCACCAGCTGCAACAGGCCCGGAGGGGGCAGGAGCTCTGACTGGGCGATGCAAGAGAGCACCCGGCCCAGAGACCCGGGTCCTTCTTATAAGAGGTTCCTCCTCAGGGTCGACTCCACCGTCATGATGAGGCCTTTTGCCTCGTTCTTTGTCCCGAGCGCCCCCAGCGGCAGCAGGGGCTGTAGTGATTTGTGGAGACGCGCTCGGGTTGGTAGCAGGGGTGCTGACAACAGAATCAATAGCCACCGTGCTCGGGATGGTGTCAGAGATGGTGGCTGAGGAAGAGGCTGATGCAGGAGAGGAGGTTGCCCCAGCAGCAGAAGTGGCTGGGGGAGTATTTTTCTTCCTGCCAAAGGATGGAATCTGAAGCCTGCTCATGGTATAGCCGAGGGATGAGAGCGCTAGAAGGTTGTCTGAAGTGAGGAGGTCTGAGCAGGAAGGAATATCGTTCAGAACGTATTTCTTCAAGTAATTACTCCTATCCCTGCAAACACTGTAGCTCAAGTCATCACAAGGTATTCCTAAGGAGCGGCATAAGAAAGTACAAAAGCGAGGAACACGTGTTTCGCAGGGACAATCATTTTTGTGAGATTTGAATTTCTTATATGAGGAAACAGAACAGACGCCAAAGGCGCTCGGGATTGGGTAATCCTCTGCAGCCGGCGAAGACCAAGCCCCACTAATGCCCACGATGTTATCCCTCCAACCCTTTTCAGATTTGATTGTGTCCGTATATATGGACATCTTGTCGATCGGGTAGAAGTGGTAGAAGGGCTCGTTAGTTCGGATCTTACTGACCTTATAACACAGAAGAAGATCTATGAGGTCAAGGTCCAGACTTCTATCACGAATCAACAGTAGCATAACGGATATAATTCTAAAGAAATTGGGGTTTACCTGCAGGGGGGATATCCCCAGTCTATTGAAGACATAATTAAAGAAGGGGTGCAGAGGGAACCTAACGACATTCAATTGAAGGTTTGAAAATAAAACTTCGCCGGGAAGGAGGCTGGCACCGGTCATAATATTAACATCCTTAGGGCAAACCCTAACTTGGATGTTGTCAGGAAGTCTAAGTCTAATACGACGAACATCTAGATCTACAACCATGGTGGAAGTGTTTGAAGGATCTAAAAGGGTAAAAAGAAGCCTGCCGAAAGTAAAAAGGAACAAAACTAACCTCTGAGATAGAAAGTAACAAAGAGCACTGCAAGACCGCTGGAAGAATGACTCTTGAAGGATTTCACCGGAAAAAGCTTAGCACTGTTCTAAAAAGAGAGAGATTTGACTGATGATGGAGACGGTAAAAAGGCATGAAGTGGTATTCTAGAGCCTTATAAAGGCAAAGGGGACCCGAGGGCCGAAGCGTCAGGAAGGCGAGAAATTCATCGAGCCCCGGAACATTGATTCTGGATCTGACCGTCCGTTCCCCCATGTGGGTTTCTCGAGCCGTCAACGTCATGATGAGACGCCTTCAATAATTACCCCCTTATTAAACAAGGGGTAATTATGGGGGCAGTTGAGGAGGCCCGAGATGACATGGGCCGGATAAGACTTGCAAACGCGACATCCGGTCCGTACAAATGGGTCAGGCCCATAGAAAGACACTGTCATATGGGCCGAACGCGAATAAGTCCATTAAAGATGACCAGGACTCATGGAGGAACGGGCCTAGATCCAGCAGTCCATCAATATTTGTAAATATCTATAAATAGGAGAAGTAATGGAAAGAAAGGGGGGATATTTTTTTGGTTGAAATGCAAGAATTCTAGAGAGAGAAAGAGGGAAGGAATTTCTTGTATCTTCAGTGTGTATGCATAACTATCCAATAAATTAAGTTTTTGGGTGAATGGGCAAGCGCCCACCCTTTACAGTTGATATTAGAATCAAACAAGTCATTGATCTGGTGCCACGCCAAGCTCCCGGCCGGGAAGGCGTCCGAGTCTTTACCCCTGGTAGGCAGAGTGGCCCAAGCCGCAACAAGTGCATTGCGAGTTCAGGTGGGGGAAAATGTTACAAGGAAAACTTGTCCCATATTGAATCTGGATGAAAAAATAAATGGATATAAACAAGTAGGTATGCAGCACCATATCCATGGGCAAGCGCCCACCCCCGAAGATTAGTGATTGATTTTCATTATAATGTAAATAAATTAGTAAAAATATATATATATTGGTTTATAAAATATTACATTTTGGGCGCCTCGAAGATTAGTGATTGATTTTCATTATAATGTAAATAAATTCGTACAAAGATATATTTTGGTTTATAAAATATTACATTTTTCTCATTTGTGTATTCTTGCCCTGTCATTGTCCTATTTATCTTATTACTTGTCATAATTTTTTTTTCTTTGGCAAATTTACATTCCATAGTTTGGACTTCACTAAATATTTACGCACAAATTATATACCAACTGCACTGATGCCTATCACGTACCAGAAAAGCTAATCATTTTCCTAGCAGATATGAGTTGGCTACAGTTTACATACAATCAATCCGTTCAATTTCCAAATGAATTGATGCAGAGTTACAAGTCAAATACACTTGGCTTCCAAAGGAACAAATCATCATAAGTCATATAACATTTATACACAATCATTAGCTAAACGTTTACACCATGTAACTCCTGATTCACTGTAAAGAAGATAAGTATTGAAGTCCATTAAAAAAAAAAAAATTGCAGAAAACAAAACCTTCATTCAGAACAGTTAATCTCAATACCAAACTCTAAGCACCATCTTCCATTCTCGACATCCCTTGATTAGTCACCACTTTTTCTACGATCTTCTTCAGTGCAGCGGCGCTCACCCCGCATTTATTATCAGTGAAACAGGATCTACCTTCTTCGGCAGCTTTGCATAGCTGGGGGTCAAGTGGCACTTTTCCAAGAAAAGGGACGCCCATATCACTACACATCTTCGTTGCACCACCACCACTACTATCAAATATTTCTGTGCAAGCAACCAAATTTAGCATCTCTGGTGCTTTGTCTTTCAGATACTCATTAACCCACTCTGTGACATCTTTTTGTTCACCTGTCTCCAACACCCTCATGAATTTGAAATCTGATACCGGTTGGCACAAGCCACTCATGTTCTCCACAACACCAAGGACTTGTAATCCCACCTTCTTGCAGAAACTCACTTCTTTACGCACATCGATCAAAGAGACCTGTTGTGGGGTGGTGACTATGATAGCACCATCTATTCCAGTTGCTTGGAGGAATTGGACAATTGAGATATGCTCGTCTGAGGTCCCAGGTGGAGCATCCACCACTAGAAAATCAAGCTCTCCCCAATTAACTTCCTTTAAAAAATGCTTGATGATCCCATTCTTGCGTGGACCCCTCCATATGACCGCCTCATCTGGGTCGGGGATCATGAACCCAATAGACATGACCCCAAGGTTGGACTCCACATAGACAGGTGACCAACCAAGGTTGCTCTGGTGAATCTCCTGGCCTTCTAGACCAAGCATCTTGGGGATGCTTGGGCCACATATATCAATATCAAGGAGACCCACCTGAAAATCCATTGCGGCTAGTGCAAATGAGAGTTGAGCAGAGAAAGTGCTCTTACCAACTCCACCCTTCCCGGACAAAACCAGTATCTTATGCTTCACAGTAGCCATTCGTTCTGCAATTGTAACCAAGTCTGCAGAAGAAGCAATGCATATCACTCAGATAACAGGAAAAAAAATCATTTTCTCGTCAGGCAAATAATTCCAATTTCTGGAAAAACGGAAATTACAATTATTCTCTATGAGATGTGAGAATGCTTTAAAATGCAGACAATAAAGTTTGCTCCAAAGATTTCAGCTCGTATCATTTGAAAATTCATGTGAATCGTTTCTAAAGTTAGGTAAATACAATGCAACAAAATGAAAATAATAAATAACTAAATGAGATTTCGATAGTAAAAAATTAAAAATATATGACAACAAGAAGAAGAAGAAGCCTTTTTGCCTACTTAGGGTCAGCTACATGAATCCTATGTCTCCATTCAGCTCTAAGGCCATAGTCCAAGTCAAACCATATGCTATCATATCTATCTTTACTAACTCTACCCACATTAACTTTTGTCTTCCGCTTCCCCCCAGTATTACCCTCAAAATGAGATGCATACGTAGTTCAACTTCTTCTCCCTTTTCCTATTGGCAACTCAAGATGACACACAAGAAGAAACAAATAACACACATGAAACACCCCATTACAAAGAGAAAATCCTACAGAATACCTTGAGAAATATAGTACGTGGTAAAGAACCAAAAAGAATCCAAAGCCAGTGGCCTAAATATTGGTAGCACCACTTGCAGAAGTAGGAATATTCAAAGTTCCAGAAAGTCAGAAAATACAATTCAGACCAGAAGCAAAACACAAAGGAATTTAAAATACCATGGATAAGTAGACTGCTAATGAACAATAGCTAAACCACAACGATAACATTTCCTGAATAGCACTTCAGACCAATTATTCAGTGGCAGCCTGGCCTTTGCAACATCAGGGAGAAGGCTCAGGGAACCTTTCTACATACATGGATAACCAAACTGAGACATTCTATAGCAATAGATATCACAGAACTATCGTAATAGACAGTGGAATCATAGTTCCTTTTCAGCCATGTCACTTAAGAGAGGCATGAGAATACTCAAGGTTAAGCCACTTTTCCAGGACTCGCCTGGACAGAAACTGCCACTTCAGTACTACTCCAATGGTCCCACACAAATTCTACTTAACAGTTAAAAAATCGCATGAAGAGTAACGATTAAATTATCAGATACTGCTTTATTTATAATGACCACACACATTTGCATGAGAATGGGCCCCAAATTAAACTTCCATCAACTCTTCTGTTTTTTTTTTTTTTTTTTTTTGATAAGTCCATCAACTCTTCTTTAGAAGCTTGGAATTAAGGATTTTCAAGTTCCATTCTAGAATATCATAATCCTAGAAAAACCTCCATCCTCAGGTTCCATTTAGCAAATTAAATCATCTAAAAAATCATCCTTGCTAGCTTTTAGAGGGAAAAAAACCATATTTCATACTCATTGCTTTCACCAAAGTGTGCAACTACGTTCAACATCTTTCAAACAAGAACCCCAGCTGATAGCAAGGAGAGAACTCTTAAGACTACCCTCCACAACGTCAAATTAAAGCCTCCTAATATTTTAAACCCGGCATTCTCTTTGAGAAATTTCTATTAACAGAGCTAAATAGACCAAGTCCAGGATTATGATGGTTCAAGATAAGCTGTCTTTAAGGAGCCCCCGTTCTGGTGGCATCCAAGGCTCCAAGCAACTTTTATCTAGTTCATTGGCTAATTAAAATGGCAATCGAAGGATATCAACTTTTAAGAGAGAGAGAGAGAAGGCAGGCACCCAGGTATTGCCAATTCCAAAAAACAAAAAACAAAAAACAAAATATCTAGTTAAGGTCATGGTCGGCTTTGAATCATGAGCGAATTGATTATGATCATCCCCAAGTATTCGAAATGAAATTCTTAAAATGGTACAAGAGAGAAAGAGAGAGAGAGTATCTACTCCGGAAATGCATCCAATATTAGCTCACAAAAGGAAATCATATCTGATGCACTTTAGTTCACAAAAGGTAAAAATATAATATAATGCATGCCTTCAGCGACAAAGTCAATTTAATTCAGGGGACACATTGAACATGATCAAAAAAAAAAAAAAAAGAAGATGTGATTGTTGCTGCTACACAAAAAAATCTTGTATATAATAACTAGTGGTGTCAATAAACCATTATATGAAACACAATAGCAATTTGTTTTGTCAGTAGCCTGTCAAAAATTATATAGCACGAACTATATATATATATATATATTGACAGCACACACGATAGAAGATTTCCCATTTAACATATTCAACAAAAGATAGTTAAATTACTATTATTATTATTTTTTCTTTTTAAACCAAAAGAAGTGAAAACAAAAAAGAAATGGTACATGAGTTGAATGCATGAATGAGTTATTATATTTTGTTAGTATGATTATTCCGCTCCAAAGAAGATAAAACAGTTTCATTAGTTCATATGGGGATCTTAAATTACACGAAATTTTATCTTTAATTTCAAATATTAGTTTGTAATTATTAGGATTATCCTGGATCATTTTTTTGTGTGTGTGTGTGTGTGTGTGTGTGTGTGTGTGTGTGTGTGTGTGTGTGTTTTGGGTGCAAGGAATACACCAAGTGTTGCAAAATAAAGTTTCCAGTAAAATAGGCAAAGAACATCTGACAAGAATATGCAGGGAGAGCAAATTATTGTTTCTATCATGTGGCATAGGTAGGTTATAATCCATGGATAAAGGCAAAACCTTCTAATCACGGGAATAACTAGTATTCTCTAGAATTTTTAGGAGCCTTAAAGAGACTACTTCTATTGTTTCCCTAGATGTGATTAATTCATTTTCCTTCAAATTTTAATTATGAAAACAACAAGATGGTAAAAAATCAACAATACTTTCCAAAAAGAACAGAACTGTCACTAATCAAGGCACCAAAATCGGAATAGCAAATCTGAAAAGAATATGGACCAAAATTTCATGAGAAAAGGACATGTTTGCCAGCCAATAGAAAACATGGGTCTAGAATCCACATAGAGTTGAAAAGTCACGTACTTAATTAATCCCAAAAGATTTAAATGTGGGTGTCACTTAGTGCCAGCCACATGGATCGTTGAAAATTCAAAAAACAGTCTACATGGCACCCATGTGGCTCTTTGAGAAGTCAAATGAAAACCCTCATTGAAAATTCAAAAGACAGCCTGCATGGCACCCACGTGGCTCATTGAGAAGTCAAATGAAAACCCTGGCATCATGCCAGGTCATCAAGCCTCGAGTCCAAAGAAAACCTTGACGTCATGCCAGGTCATCAAAGCTTGAGAATGCAATCATCAAACCTCAAGGTTGCAACCCTCGAGTCCAAAGAAAACCCTGACGTCACACCAGTTCATCAAACCCTGAGAATGCAAATCTCGAGTCCAAATAAAACTCTAGTACTGTGCCAGGTCATCAAAACTCGAGGTTGCAACCCTCAAGTCTAAATAAAACCCTGGCACCATGCCAGATCTTCAAACCTCGAGGTAGCAACCCTCCAGTCTAAAATAAAACCTTGGTAGCATGCCAAGCCATTGAATCCCGAGATTATCATTATCTCGAGCCAAAGTTGTTGAATACAGAATAAGATATGGGTAAGGCCATCGCAAACACTCACAACTAGCTTCAGTGATGCTTCGAAGGATTTTGGATTGATGGATGAGAAGTTAGATTTGCCTAATGCCAAGTAATAGGCCTAGCTAAAGGGATGGTGAACCACAAACTGCGAAAGAGACCCTTACAATGCCCTGATAAGAGCCATTAATTATCCGACTACCGCTGCTGCTGCCTAGCCTAATGCATTTAATGTTGCATTTAAAACTTAGCACACTATGCCACCAAAAGTACGGCGGGAAGGGGTGATTTGACCCTTTTAGACGTTTAGAGGAGCTATTACCTATGACCTTAGAAACCAAGCAAGGACCAGGTCCCCTCAAAAGCCTTGGGTATTACCCAGAAAACCTAGGGCTATTAATACAGATTCCAAGGCAAGCACTAAAAAGGCAGAACCAAGAGACACGTTAACTTACAGATCTGTGGCGATAACAAACAACCCTACCTTCACCATAAATCCTATTGGCTAGTCTACTTCTCCTTCATCCATATCATCTCTATGGGGTTGTTTGATATCTCCATTTATTATATTATCTAGTGTTCCAGCAAAAAATCGCTACAAAGTTCTATTGAGATTCATTTGATTCATAATAGATAGCCCAAACACCAACTGTTTATCGCAACCGAGCACCAAGCAACAAACTAATATTGGCCATAAAAAAGAGAGAACTTGAACTAATGGAAGGTACTTCAAAATAAAGATTTACCATTATTCCAAGGTCTTGGCACTCTACAGATTTAATACCTCTAGAAAAATCTAACCTTGTTTGCAAATTTTGAATATGACACAATAAATTTTTTCTTAGTTGGTACTCACACGCATATGCCTCCATTGGGGCTTGAACCTTGACCTCCCTTTGGGAAGCAAGAGGCTAATACCGCCGCTGGCTCGTTGGTAATATGACACAGTAATTCATGAATAGAACTATGAAAAATGTACAAATACGAATTTATACATATCCATATACACACATACCCCTATACATGAACATATATATACATATAGAGAGAAAGAGGGAACCTGGGTCGGGACCCTTCGGAGCAGTAGCACAAATTTCCTGATTAGGGCAACCTTCGCAGGCATCGGATTTGCCAGCAGAATCCGATTCAGGACCTGGGCAATCTGAAACAACACCACCCACAAACAAATTCTAATCAGAATATCGAATTCAAGTGTATATACGTATACATATAATTGAGAAGTCGTAACAACGAAACTCGATTAAGGAGGATATTACTTACGTTCATTGGCGTTTTCGGGTATTTCGTTATAGCTTCCGTTCTCCATCTCTCTCTCTTCTTCTTCCTAGTTTCTGCTGCTTCTTACTTTCTCTCTCCGCCGTTGAGAATAAGCAGTGTGTTCCGATATAACACACAATCCGTAAATATCAATAAATTTGGCGGCGACTCAGTCGACCGACTTTCACACGTAAGCTCAAACGAAAGAAATAGCAGCAATCTTAAGTTTGAAAGGAATAGTTTATTTGTAAAAATAAATAAAAATAAAAATAAAAAAGAGATAAATTGTTAGACAAACTATAATATATTGATATTATTTTTTAAAAAAATCTCTTGAACAAGTGATCTTATTTATATTTTATTTCTCTTTAATTTATGTGTAAAAGTGATTAATCCATCTTAGTTTCCTACTTAAACTAAAAAAATGTATCTCCCTTCTAAAATTCTAAAAATAATAATAATATTTTCTTCAATTTTCTAGTTGAACTAAACAACTGAATCCAGTTTTTTACTTGAATTATTATCTTTTTGTTTTTTCTTGAGTTTTGTTTTATAAAAACACATTTATTTTGGAATTTTATTTTATTTTATTTTTTTTGTGTTATTCAGAGTTTCCTTGTTAAATTTTTCTAATATGTAAGAATTGTAAGACATTTTCTTTTGGAATTCATCTTTTATCCAAAAGAGAGACATCGTTTTAAATTATTTGAATAAAAATGTCTACCAGTAACCTAGTGATACTTCTTTACCCTCCAAAATGGAAGGTTAAGGATTCAAAAATCCATTATGAATAAGTTTCTTGCCCGATAAAAAAACAAAAACAAAAACAAAAAACACATAACAATTCATTCAAGAAGGGAATTCACTAGTAATCCAAATTCACTTGCATTGGCTTGGAACACATTTTATTACATCTGAATAGCAATACACACCACACCTGAGCTCATGTTCTAAATGAACAGCCCATTAAGGTTAAAAAATTTCAACAGGACATTTCCGTGGCATATTAACCAAGCAGCGTACTGATCTATATATTTTATGGAGGCATGCAACATCTATAAACTGTTACAAGTGGGCTCTAACAAAACCCCAGGCTCATACAGCAACTGGAAGATTATTTATAGAGGCGGTATGCTATGTTACAAGGTGGGAGGGATCCATATATAGCCATGCGTTTGAACATAACCCGCTCGTTCCAGCAACTCATCTGCTTCAGTTGGACCTCGGCTACCTGGCTTGTAAGGTTTCGGCTTGGATTCTCCCCTATCTATGCCGTGCAGAAGTGGCGTAAAAATCTCCCAAGCCGCCTAATGATTCAAACAGCGCAAAATGTCAATTTGGGAATTTTAGGCAGTGTATGTTCAAATAATTAGCCAGATTTATTTCTAAATACCTTTAACTCGTCTCTGCGCACAAAATGTTGCTGATCACCCCTAATTCTGCAAAATAAGATCCGATCTTATTATTAATTTAAGCATATGTCATCATGATGATGTTCACTAGCTCCTACATGCTCGGTACAATTTCATTTATACTGCTTAAAGCAAAGGCAAGCATATATACAGCTTAAAACAGATAAATAAACATGATATGAGCATATAGAAGGATTTGTGGACATACGTGTCAAGGATTAAACGTTCATAAGCCTCAGGAATGGTAACCCCTTGATACCGCTGCCCATATGACAAATCTAGTTCACTTTGAACAGTAGACATTTCCAGCCCAGGCTGCTTGACCTGCACATGAGAGAGCCTGAAATCAGTGGATGTGTGAAAATCTTGGGGTTCATTTCGCAACGATTTTTTAAGAGAGAATTTATAAATTAGATATATAGATCCTAACAACAGAATCTTGGGAAAATGCTGAGGGATTCAAATACCTATATAGATACAACAAAAACTGCAAGTGCATTCCCTACTGACCAGACCATTGGAATCAAGTTTTCAAAGTTCTTTTATAAAACTTTATGATATGAAAAAAATAAATTTTTCATTAAGTAAATGAAAGCATTATCAAAATTAACTCAAGCATTTTTCACAAGGTAGCTCCTTGTGAAATTCTCAATCACATAGTAATCATATAGGTTTATCTAATCAAATGCTAATTACGTGACAAAACAAAGCAAATAGAACTCTCATAATGATTTTTTCAAGTTTTCTTGCTATCTCATGTTTCTTGTCTTTGTTCTCAACTTCTCATCTTCTCATACTTACTGGACTCATACTACTTATAGTTTCCACAAGTGCTTGGACAAGTTTTGGTAACTTCAAGTTCAATTCAAGTAAGGAAAGCTCTAAAAACTCAAAGCTCTGCATCCTTAGCATTCTTGGAATGAGGGGATCGCTCCTCACTATATATGGGGATCCATCATTTGGACTCTGCTCTGCTAGGGATCAATCATCTAAGCACCTGGGATCTATTCCTTGCTCGATTCAGCTCTATAATGCATTTCAAGATCCAATTTGCAAAAATTCATCTCCATTAAGTTCAATTAGTGTCCATGGTCACCTAGGTTGACGGTAAGTTGACTATCTAACCAATTGACCAACCTAGACCCTCTGTCAGCCAAATCACTTGCAATCCCTAATGCATGATTGAGTCCAAGAATGAACTAATGCAACATACATTCCAGATCTGTCTTCAACTTCCAATCTTCAATTGATCATGTAGTTCCTTGGTAAGACAACCACACAATTGACATACTTACAAACACACACAACGTTACTTCAACAATGAAGATGCATATGAAACCATAACCAGGTACTACTTTAACATCACCGGAAATATAGCTCCAATAATGACCTTATTGGAATAGAAAAGGCAGTCTCACAAAATCATAATGAGATAACCAAAATCATTCACATACCGTAAGCTTCATGTACATGGCCTCTAAAGGCTGCAGACGAATTACAAATTCATTTCTTCCTTGCTTTTTACCTAAAAATAGTAAAATTGTGATTTAAAAGACATTTTTTAAGCAAAGAATACATGATAAAAAAATTAAATAAATAAATCTTAGCTTAAAATAAATAAATAAATATTACAAAAAAGTTGAAATGAAAATTTGGTTGAATCATAAAGAAAACAGGTAAAATCACACTGAGCTTATGTACATGTTACTTGTGCATTATCATATTGATAGAGAGGCTTACTACTGGGATTGAATGCCAATTTTTCCCTTCTTTTCCAATTACAATACATTAATCTTCAAAGCTCCTTGGTAAACAATAATTTCCATACTTCCATTGATGCATGAATACTAGCTATGATATAGTTTATCGTGTGAGACGACCAGTGAGGGCTTAAAAGCCTCCACTGAACTGACTTCCATATACATCCTCCAAATAGCACTAATTTCACCAAGGTCCCTCAATTAATGCTAGTTTTACCAACATGCCAGTGGCCTAGCGGTATTAAGCCCTTACTTTCCAAAGGGAGGTCAGGGGTTCGAGCCTCAGTGGAGGCATGTGTGTGTGAGTACCAACTAGGAAAAAAAATAAAAATTAATGCTAGTTTTGTCAAAATATTACTGGCTGGTGTTGCAGTCTAGTTTTTGATATAGAAAACTTGTAAAGATGATCATAAGTTGAACAGATGTTGGTCAAAATCACAGGAGGTTGATACCATACATTTAAATATATCACCAGGAACATCTTTAAATTGAATACGTATTTCCGCCTTTCTTGAATTTAATGCTTTCCCTGCCTTTAGTATAAAAGGAACACCTGCAACATGTAATTCATGGTGATGGTAAGCTGTGAAGAAATATTAAAATGAAAGACATTAGAAACATATAATTATATTGTATCATATCACACCTTCCCATCTTTCATTGTGTATCCTCAGAATGACAGTTGCAAAAGTGGGAGTGTTCGAGTTGTCAGGAACAGTTGGGTCCTCTGTATAGCCTTCATATTGTCCAAGAACAACCTCTTCATCTTTAATTGGGTTTACGGATTGAAGAACCTGAATTTCACATAACATGATGTGGAAGAGGAAAAGGAATGCTCAATAACACACAACTTATAAAGAATGTGGTAAATTACTGAAGGAGAGTTTTGTTAATTGTTGTGTGCAGAACATATATACTCATTTGAATCCACTGTGTAGAGACTATTATGTCCTTCAGATCAAATGTACATTACAATTCTTTTACATCATTTATGTCCATTATCCTCTATTTTGGTGGTAGAAAATAAAGAGAGAAATGGAAAGAAAATAATAAGAGTGGCATTTATGTTCCATTAACTCATTATTTATATTGATCGAGCAAAGCACTAGAAACTTATTTTCAACTCTTCACACAAATTAAGTGTGTCACCTTGTTTGTGTATACTTAAGAGTGTCAAAGGACACAAATTAGTAGGAGAATTAATAGAAGTAGCAGACAATTGATTTCTCATAAGCAAGTAAACCAAAACACTTGCCTTAACTTTTTCATCCCGAATGTGTTCAGGTTTAAGAGAAACAGGCTTCTCCATGGCAACCAGGCAAAGAACCTGCAGTGGGATTGAACATATTTTATGTTAATTGGAAATTCATGTTTTATAATACTACTAAACGTTGTCATCAAACCTTGTAAAATAAAAATCTTTTACATGCATGATTAAAACAATAGAAGCAGTACCAAGAGCTTCCAAGTAGGCAGCAGAAGTTAAGGGTTGGTTTCATTTTTTTCCCATTAAGATGACCTCTATAAACCACTCTCTCACGCCCCCCCACCCCCCAGAAAAAAAAAAATGGCTTTTGAGCATGACAAACAGACATTGTGCCAGAAAATAGTAATGCTCTTTTTTTTCCCCAGATACCCAACAAGACAAATTAGTAATGGGTCAAACTGAACACCACTATACAAAATCTGAATGTGCTACGGTCTAGACAATGTCTAATCAGGCAAATATTAACCCCACCCAACCAAAAAATTTCAGATGAGGACTTTTTTTTTTGCCATCACCTCACAAGAATGCATTAATTCGTAATTCATCTGTCACAGGAACATGCAGCAACCAATAACGACAATTAGTCATCATTTATCCAATTTATATTACCGTTTTCTAAAAGTAAAAATATCTTTAAAATATAACTATACAAAATCTGAACGTGGCACGGTCTAGACAATGTCTAATCAGGCAAAAAAATAACCCCACCCAACCAAAATATTTCAGACGAGGACATTTTTTTTGCCATCACCTCACAAGAATGCATTAATTCGTAATTTTTTTTTTTTTTTTTTTTTTTGATAAGTAAAAGAGAGAATGATTTGTAATGATGGAGATGAAAAGGAACACGCAGCAACCAATAATGACAATTAGTCATCATTTATCCAATTCGTATTGCCGTTTTGCAAAAATAAAAGTATCTTAAAAATATTTATCTATATATATATATATTTCAGGTACATAAGGAAGAGATGGTAACCAAAAACTGGATGAACCAGACAGACATGCAACATTAGCTGTGCTACATGAAAGTATTTCATTTAACCAGCAGCAAATATAAGATAACTAATCTCTATATAATCAATGAGAAAAATAAAATAAAAAGTAAAATAGAAGGTTTTGAAATTGCAACAGGAAATACTTGGTAAATGTAGAAGAGAGGGCCACACTAATGAATAACGAGCCCTGAACATAACAAATTTCCCAAATTTTGAGATGGAAAACTGAGACCAATAGTTTTCAATTATTTAATCAGATAACAGTTGCATGACAAATAAAATGTGATGCATACACCCAGGAATCAAAGCTTCTAAAGCTATCAACACCCTTCTACCTCCTCTCTTCTCATCTCTCTCTCTCTCTCTATCTATCTATATGTCTCTTGAGAGGCATGGAAGTCGCTCTAGCACACTCCCTCTTTCTATCTCCCCCTTCTTCACTAGTGAAGGAGAGCTTTGTTCTCCCTCTTTAATCTCTCTCATCTTTAGATAATTTTAAAAAGCAGCATACTCATTTGCCCACAATAAAGGGTCATTGCCCAGTATGGTGTGTGTTTCAAAATTTTGTTGCAGGTGTAAGGTTACACCAATTTGATACAGAAGGCAAAGATCTATCAAGTATTCCAAGATGATACGAGGACCTTCTCTATCTTGAAGGATTATAAAACAATAGTCTGATTTTTTTTCTCTAAGAAGAGGAGAGTAATAAAACAAAGTACTAAAAGCTTTTGGTTGCAGTGCAATCTACCATACAATTTTCAAGGCTTATTTAACACAGGTCCCAAAAACCAATATGGTTGCACATGTATTTTAGGTGTAAGAGCTTCAATTGAAGTATTTAATGAGAATATTACCATACTTTCTTATGCTCATATGTCCTTTAGGCTTTAGGGTTTGAAGAATAAAATTTAGGACTTATGTCACAATGGTTTAAATGGAGTCATTACCAAATATGGTCCCTGTTGATCGGGGGTGTGAGGAGGGGTGGACCGAGTACAAACCTAAACTTCGGCATTAATTGTCTTTTAATATATGTGAAGCTCCATTATTTACGTTGAATGCGTTGAAGGTTTTATGCTAAATCATGCTTCCTTGTAAGATTTTCCCATTTAAACCCTCATTTACTATCTCTCTCTAAATTCCTGGGATAAACATATGTATGAGAACTCAAATTTTCAACCACAACAGCCTAAGGTGGGAACAGAGGAGAAAAATGGGCACCTCTCTCCCAATTGAGGGCAAATCAAGTGCCAGATTTTTGCTTGTTTGATCCACAAGATGATAGGAGCAAAGCACCATCAGTTATTGTTCTCGTTATAAGGAAGTTCCTCATCAATGTTAACCTATGATATTTTATTGTTATATAAGTATAAAATTTATGTATTTCTTTCATTGTGGTAAGACAGAAACATTCAACGCACATCCACTACTGCTGAAAAGGGGTTCAAATCCTCATCCTCCCATGTGGAGGACTGTATTTTTTTCATTGATATATCTACACGCACATCCTACAAGAACCCACTATTGCCTCAACAAGGGCTTGAATCCTCAACCTCCCATGTGGGAGAAGGATGAGATGCCACTGGAGCTAAACATTCTGGTGACAAACATACAGATTTCACTATAGTTAATATAAATAAATCAGGCTACAATTCATATGGTATAAAGGCAATGATGATGACGGTGATGACTACATATATATATATATATATATATATATATATATATAGAGAGAGAGAGAGAGAGAGATTCAATATTATTTAGGTGTTGGTAACTTATTTATTTGAACAAGAAAGACAAATTCAATATCCTGGTCTCACCTGCAGTAGGTGATTTTGAATAATATCGCGGATAATTCTGCAAAATGAAAATGATAAAAGATATTACATTGTATAAGCCTAGTCATCAACTCTCAGTAATATAAGATGCAAAGAAGGAAGATGGAATAATAACCCAAAATGCTTCTCCAATTCCACACAGTGTCTTTTTCCCCTACAGCAGGGAATACAAGGACAAAGTTGATGACAAAAATGAAACTTTTTTTTTTTTTTTGATAAGTTAAATATATATCTTTTTATGTTACATTTTGGAATTGAACCTTGGACCTCTAGTAGAAAAAAATGAAACATCACTCTGCAGAATGAAAAATTGAATGCACAAGATGCTAATAAAGAGATCAAGGTTTTTGTAGAGGGTAAAACCAGAGAGAGAGAGAGAGAGAACCGTGTTTTCTTATTTATAAATACTCAACAAATAAAAAAAAGAAAGAAATTTTTGTACATGAGAAATCTTTATGCAGGGTAAAACCAGAGAGAGAGAGAGACATGTTTTCTTATTTATAAATACTAAATTAAAAAACAAAAGACAGAATAAATAAATTATAGCACATGAGAAATCTTAATGCATCAACCAAACATACCCATATTCATCAAAATATCCACCACGACCTTCAGTTCCAAAATCCTCCCTAAACACAATCTGCAAAAGAAACCAACAAAAGAGACTAACATTGGTGATATCATACATTGATACTCATCAAATTTTCAAGCTGTGACATTTTGGGTGAGAATTCGAAGATATGGATGTAAATTAAGAAGAAAAGAAAAAAAATTCTAGCATGGCCTTAGCGCCAGATCAAACATTAATTTAGGGGCCAATAAATAATAAAAGTTAAGATCCAAATTTATGTAATGATAAAGATTTCTCAAAAGTAAAAGCCAAAAGCCTCAGTTCTTCTAATAAAAAGATTGTGCATAAAGCAACATATTCACATAAAACCAATCCCCATAAAGCATAATAAAATCTTGATGCATCAAACATCTTGATTTTACCTCCTTTTTTGTGTGGATATTTTCAAAGGAAAAAAAAGAAGAACCACCTAGTAAGTTTTTCAATAAATCAATAGCTCTACACCATCAACATAAAAAATAAAAAAATAAAAAATAAAAAAAGAAAGAATGAAAAGCTCTAGTCATCATGGTATCTTCTGATACAATAATCAGAAAATATAAGTTGAAACCACACTATAAGCAAGAGAATACAAAATGACAAATTATATAGCAGGTAAATCCACAGTTATGTTCTGTTTAATAAAAAAATATAGTAATGTGACTAATGTCCAGTCAATGATTCACCATTTTGAACAGCAAAAAATATTTTAAAAAACAATGGGGTGTCTGCCTAAGCACCGGCTGACAGCTGTCTCTAAGCTCCACTCAAAGGCTAGAGGCGGGAGGGATGGGAGAGAAAAAGGCGCAAGCAATGCAGGGCGCCTTTTATGTAGCAAAATAAAAAAACAATAATAGAAAATACAAATGAGAAGGATACTCACCTGTTTCATGTACCAAAATAAAAATAATAATAATAAAAAATACAAATGAGAAGGATACTCACCTGTACGTTAGCAATGTTGTCACGATTCCAAAGCGGCATAAAGAAGCGATTTGCAAAACGAAGCACCAACTGCAAAATTTTGAAATGACATAAAAAGAGTAATCAGCAGTGTCTAAGCCACTGGATATACTCCACAACTTCTGAGATAATTACCAAGTTCTGCACCAATTCCTTTCCCAGGTAATGATCAATACGGTAAATCTGTGGTTCTTCAAATAGCTTCCCAATATGGGTACTCAGTTGCTCTGCCGAATCCAAATCCTTTCCAAAAGGCTTCTCTACAACAATCCTTGTCCATCCACCACGGTCAGCTGAAAAGGATAAAATTAAGGAGTTCACAAAGATTTTATACTAAGACATTCTTTTTAAAAATCACTTGAAGCTCCAGCCTATGTCTAATTAATTAAGGAATCATAAAACCCAATGCAATCATAAAACCAACATGCTTGATGAGCTGACTTTAAATCCATTAGATTACATAAAAAATTTGTCTTGAGAAAAAAAAGAGCTTTATATCAAACTAAAAATAGTAAAGAGATATTTATCGTCCCAAAGTAACAAAAGAGAAGAAAATATTCTGACAAATTTGGAAACACAAAAGTCTGATGATTATCCCATTGATACATATTAAGTTTCTATTACAAACTATATACTAGCATTGAAGCGATACTGTGTAAATAGAAGATCATGTATTTTCACAGAAGGATCAACAGGAATTATACATTGTTACTCATTAACATTCACAAAAAAAAATTTCAAGATAGAAATTCATACAGCTATTCATGCAACAATTCCTGATCATCTTGCAGACAGATGGATATACTGATGGAGGAAGGGCAAGGTAGAAAAGTCTTCGAGATGATCCTTCTGCACTATTCGTTGAGAGTTCATGCCCAGATATTTCCTTGTCCAATGCACGAAAACCCTCCTCTGTATCATAAGAGCCACTTACATATTTGATCTACAAAAATTTTGTCAAAGCCATTTCACATCACTGCATAGCAAATAACTAATGAAGGATACAAAATTAATGAAGAAGCAATAGCTCTTCTTACCAACTGCAGAAATTTTGATACATCTTCCGAGTGCACTGATGAAGAAACACCTTTGCCCTGGGTAAGATATCTGCAGTCATTGATTAAAATATCAATCGAAACCCAAATAAACCACTACAACCATTGGCCACCGGCCACTGAAACAAGCATTTCATATTATAAGCAAACTGAAAATAAAAATTACCTGACAAAAACTTGTCAGGGGATCAGTGAAAAGAATTAAGATTAATAAAAAGCAAACAGACACAATGCCAACAAAATTGAAACTGAGCGTACAATGCAAAAACTCAATCAAAGTTCGCACGTTTCAAAGGTGGGCAGTAAGTATATATAATTCTCATATAAATGTGATCGACATATTTTTATTAAATTGGAAAATTAGTAATGATCCTCAAGTAAAGCGTTCTTTTCTTATCATGTTATGAGAAGTCCGCAATTGAGAAGCATGGAGTAAAAGCCAAAGCTAAGGAAATCTCACTCGCGTATGCGATTTCTCAACTCATCATCCGAAATCTTGGTCCTTGCATAGCCAAAAATATGAACTTCAGTTGGTGGCAAGAATTTCTGTGAACACACCACATTTACATCCAAAGTTAGCTGTAGAAGGACAACAAAACAATCTATAACAGAGAAAAAGAGGAATCGCGTAATTCTTGATTTCCCGAGTGACTTGGTACACACGGCATAATCTAATGACTATTCCCATTTTCATTCTGAAATTATATTGTGAAGAAACATATATTCATGATAACAACATATCATCAAACCTGCCGGTAAAGGTTGAATAGGGCCGGAAAAGTCTTTTTCTTGGCAAGATCACCCGAAGCACCGAGCACAATAATGGAGAGACATCCAGTTTCAGGAACTTCAGTGTCCCTTGAGAAAGAATCATTTCTAAGACCAGCTCTTTTCTCAATGGACCATTCGCCGTATGCCATCTTTCAAAATCAACAAGTAAGCAAGAGCCAAAACTCTTTCACAATTGATAAGTATTATCAATTATACCCTGTGATCTACACATAAATAAACATAAAATAATTGTCAAGCAAATTTTTTAATTGATCAGGAATATGTAAAATAATAATTTCCACCAGTATAGGATAACTAGTTGACTTCATTCACAGCCCACGACATAAAATCAGTTCATAAAGTGATTGGTCTCAGCTTTAGTAGAAAGAATAAACTTCAAAATCGTCAAGAACTTACTCTGATTCAACTCATCTAAGACATCAATTGATCACAATGTAACATTAAAAACACTCTAGATAACACTGAGAAACTGAATTATACTGTTAACAATTTAGATACAATATATATATATATATATATGCACACATACAGACACATACATCGAATAAGGTTATTGGGCCTAAATTTCCAGATATGAACAGAATTCAGATCAAATAAATGATAATCAGCAGGTAATTCATTCATAAAACCAATAATTCAGTAAAATTAAGATTACGAACCTAAATAAATGGATGATGAATTGAAATTAGTGGTGTGAAGATGGGGAATCAGATCAAGACTATCACAGTATGGAGATCACACAATAGAGAAATGTGAATCCAAAATAAAAATATATATTTATCAGAAATAAGTCAAGAGATAAATAGTCAACACTACCTTTCGATACGATCTTGGGCAAGAGGAAATTGATTTTAGAGAGCGAAAGTGTGTGTGTCGTGTTTGATGACCGGTATTTTAAATTGGTTTTTTTGAGCTGTCCACCAACTCTCTTTATCTCCTCCGTTTGATTCTTACCAGCCGCCGTCGTCAATACGACAGCGTACGATGCGTTTTCAACACTTACTGGTATTTGTAGAAAAATTTTACGTTGATTCCCTTTTACGAGCCAAGTACGCTAAAAGATTGATATTTTGTTTGGTAGTGAAATGATGGGTGATGTCGTTTGGTTGGAAGGAAAGAAAGAAACGGAAAAGGGATGCGCAACAATATCTCTTACTTTTATCTCTTTTTCATGTTTTTATGGTCCGTTTGTCTTGGCAGGAGGAATGAAAAATTGATGGAAAACAGAAGGAGAGGAATGAATGAGATACTCGAGAGAAAAAATGGTGTCTTCTTCCCTTTTTATTTTATAGGATAAGATTTTTTTATAATTGTATAGATAAATTAAAGGTTTAAAATAGTATTTTATATTTATAAATTAATTTTTCTATCTTTGTTTCCCATCTTTCACTCAATTTTAAGAGAATGAAAAAATGGAAAATAAAGAAAGTTTTAAAACGATTGAAAGAAAGTTTAAAGACTGCATTGTTTTGAGATAAGAAAAATTTACCAAATTTAAAAACTGAACCTTTTTAAATTAAGAAAAATTCACCATACTCTAACGATGTTTAACGTCTTATCTCTCCTTTATCTTTTCCAAAAAAAATCCTCTCTACTCTTTGCTCATTTTCCACGATTGGAGGAATATCATGACATGCAACTTTTATTGGCAATAGTAATGATTGGAAAAGAATAAATATATATATAAGCATGATATACAACAAAAAAAACCCTTATATATATAGAAAATATGAGAGAAAAATATAGACCATTAACGTGTTTAAATAGGAATAAAGAGGAGAGAAAAGGAGGAATTTTTTTTAAAAAGATAGGCTTTTTGGAAAAGATGAGGGAGAGATAATGATATTAAATGTTATTAGAGTATGGTAATTCAAAAGGGTACAGTTTTTAAACTTCCGTAATTTTTTTTTTTTATCTCAATATGATGCAATTTTCAAATTTTTTTAAATTAATTGATGTGGTTTAACACCAACAGTAAATAGATTTTAAATGTTATGTGTATAGCGAATTCAATTTAGGATAATTTAAATAATATTTAATTTAGATTATCAAGTCCCAAAAAAAGTGACTTAAAAGAATGTTTCGTCCCTTCTTGCGTCCTACCTTTCTTTACAAGGAAAACTTATTTTGTTCTCTCTCTCTTTCCTCCTTCCTTATAACCAAATACAATATTAAAATCAAATGAAAAAGAGATGATAGATAAGTTGATTCAGAATATGGAATAAGATCTTTATGCCTCAATTATATATCAAATTAATCTATTAAACTCTACTAATTTGAAAAAAAATTACTTAATGACAATGTATTAGTAAAAATTTGTAAAATATCTTTATTTCGCTCTCCCATTTAAATAAAAAAAAAAATGTGTGACCTCATTCATTGATTTTATTATCTTTCCATCCAACTAAACAAGAAGTGATGAAAAAATCTTCCCTTTCCTAAATTGCCTCATCCAACCCTTCCATTCTCCTCCCATTTATTTTTTTCATTTCTCTTTTGAAACTGAGCATAATGTTAGGAACAGACCCAGAAAATTATGCGAGAGAAGGCAATAATAATTTGTTTTTCAATAATTTCAAGAGAGCAATTGTAATATTAAAAAGAAAAAAAAAAAAAATCAGAGAGTCTTGGCCTCAATATTTATTTTTTGAATTCATGACAATTACTTTCCAAAAATTGAGACAAACAGCCCCTTAAATTTTAACTTCAGCGAAATACTGGATAAGGTTGAGGCTGAGACTGGTGGGCCTGTTGAATGATCCAATAATTGTTAGGTGGGAACTGGGAAGTAGATTCGTCCACGTGGTGTATGACAAATGGGGACCTAAGCAACATATCTTTCTTTCTTTCACAAACGCCACGTTACGATTGACTGACTTAACGAAAAACTTAAGAGTGAGTCTATGGAAAATGGAAATAATCGTACACCTGGAATGTAAAGAGTGTCGTACTAGACTACCGACTACCAACCACTTCTATGAAAGGTAGGGATGGCAATAGAGAGGGCGGACAAGACGGGGCGGAGATCTCGCGCCTCGTTTTTATTTTCGGTCAAATTTTTTATTTTCATTCTCGTGTCTATACTCGTTTAATTTTCAATTTCTTCTCAGATCGCCCTGCATAATATTTTTTAAATTTCAATTCACTTTTAATAAAATCAACACAATCATAATATTTTTCAATCTAATAATTAATTTAATAAAATTTCAGCATAATTATAACAATTTAAAATATGATTAGATATTTGATGCACAACGACTATATTTACTATACTGCGAGGAAGTACATCTAGACTATTACTTTCAGAAGTGAATATATTATATATATAGTTATGTAATTTAGTAATATTTTATAACATGTAAAGTCAATTTTGTAAAAATACACTATAAATGGGGCAGGGTTACCCTTCCCCGCCCCGAGATTTTAAATACAATTCCCATCCCTTCCCCATTTACATAAATGAATCTCCAAACTTATCATAAACAGGGCGGGGACCCGCCGAGTATGAAGATTTTGCCATCCCTAATGAAAGGGTCGTGCCTGTGTTTAGCACCGTATATCCGTTATTAACATTTCACGAACAAATTATAAAGGTGTGTGTGATATTTTATTTATTTATTTTACCCTGACAAAAAAACATGTCATACGCCATACAACATCTACAACAAGATTATCGGGCAGATACAGAAGATCAAAACACATAAAACACATCTCAAACTAACTAACACCTCCCATAGTCAAGATCAACAGTCTTAACAAGCCAAAGAAAAGGTGCCAGCTATAGAAGGAAAACCACCACAACAAAAGAGAAAAACCACCGACGAGAGAACCAAACACACTAGCGTAGGCAAAGACGGCATACGTCGGCAAAAGACGCAAATGTATCAGATCCACTCCCAGCGCAAAACACTAAAAAGCTCCAAAAAGAAGCAGACAAACAAACACAACTCCGGTGATCCAGCAACCAGTTACCCTTGGAAACGGCGCAAATCAAGAGATCGGGAACAAAAACTCACGATGAAACGTGAGAAACGCGCAAAACACTAAAAAGCTCCAAAAAGAAGCAGACAAACAAACACAACTCCGGTGATCCAGCAACCAGTTACCCTTGGAAACGGCCCAAATCAAGAGATCGGGAACAAAAATCGGGAACAAAAACTCACGATGAAACGTGAGAAACGCTGCTCACATCGAAACCTCAACAATAACGAGAAAAAATAACACAAAAGGGTGTGAATTCACCCACCGAATAGACTATATATAACATGCCGATATTATAAATCAATGAATGATCGGGATCGAGACCTCTCCACACCCATTAAAGGGAGTGGGAGGAAGCAGATGGAGGGAGGTGAGGAGCTGCGGCTAGGTAGAGAGAGGCGAGAGAAAATTGGGGTAGAGAGAGAAAGGCTTATCCCAATATTTTATAACAGGCTTCATTATAACGCTGAATCGAAACATTTCAAGGCACTCAATCAGTACATCTATATCAGAGTATACTCTTCAACCTAAACAAAACAAACACAATTAGAGTCTTAAAAACAACATTACGAATACATCAAAATATTTAAAAACAAAAACATAAATACAATAACACGGTAATATCATATATGATATAACACTTTTTATTTTAAATTACTTTAATATAATTATTTTTTTGATTAATTATGAACACATACGAAAAGGTATCTAGTTCAATAAATATTAAAAAATATGTGTTTAAATAATTTTGAAGGTGTATTTCTTGTTAATGTAAAAAAAATAATAATAAATATATTAAATTAATGAAAAAGTTCTATGATTCTCTAATGTAAAGTTGGCCTTACAACTGTCTAGTTTAACCTTGGTATATAAGCATTTCCCATGATTTTTATTATAATCTTCTGTTTGTGCTTTCCAGATTATTAATATTGTTAAATATAAAAAAATGTACCCAGTGAATTACTTTCCAATATTATACACACAAATTATGTCTGACCATTATTATTATAGTGTTTTGATATGATCTTGATTAAAAAAATAAAAAATACATATATTATTATATTGGAAGGGAGACTCGTGGATCACGCTCTCATTATTGTATGAGTATAACTTTTTAATATAAGGTGTATAAAATAAATACTCCCCATGGCATATTTTAATACAATTGTTTATTCACAGTTCACACACGCTCACAAATAATTAACAATGTCAATACATATTTCAATTTTCTCTCAAAGCGTCTATACTCTTTTTGAGAGAAAATTATATGGGCTTTCCTTATGACCTTGTGATTACAGCATAGTCCATTGATGTGCCAGACTTGCACCACATCTAAAAATTTTGGGTTACATAAATAACATTTCATTTAGGCTCTTCTTTCAACGTAATAAAAATATTATATTCTTTTAAGTTAGAATATTTTTATTTTTTGGTATTTAGTAAAGGTCAATATTTTTCGATATTTAGTAGAGGTCGAGGTCGAGTCTATCGGATGATATGTGTAAAATAATTTGTCAAAAATTGTTGAGTAAATTATTTTTGCTAAGTTTTAATATATTTTTTCTTCGTAAATATATTTTACGACAATCAAATATCAAAAAATAAAAAAATATTTTTTTAAAACATTTTACATTGAAACAAACGGAAGCTTAATTTTCTTAGCATGAATAAAACTATTGAAATAAGCTTGTGCATTGCACAGTGGGAACTTGATGTACTTATACTCCGGTGGCAACTCAAGAAACTATTACAAAGTGGTATGTCTGTGATACCCCCAGATATTCGGATGCAGGTTGGCTAAGCCCACGCCCGATTACCCGAAGATATCAAACCAATTAGTAATAAATGAACACAGAATACAATTAAGATAAATAGGAATAAATAAAACTGCTGGAAAGAAACTATAATGATAATCCAAGACTGAAAATCTCAGAACTAAAATTTTATAAATAAAGAATTATT